GCACGGACTACACTGCCCATGAGGCTACATTCTTTAGGGTGATGCCTGTAACACTCTGCCTGTTGCCTTCATATTAAATTGAATAATAATTTTAAAAAATATTTCTTCACGTCATTATGGCAGAAAGTAGGGGTGACATGGGCCGCGAGATTGAGACCCAGGCATTAGAGCCTCTTACTGTGTGTTTTGTTTGGGTTACCAAAAACAGAGAGGGCATAGCCGAACATATGAAACAGGAAAAGACTGCAGTGTAATCCATTTATTTCAACAAAGTAACTGTATTCTGAATACCACCTTTCGGTAACTGTAACGGAATACAGTTACTCATGTTTTGTATTTTAAACACGTAACGCTGGTGCATGTATTCCATTACTCCCAACACTGTTTGTTGATGATGATGGGAGAATAATGGGCTAATGGCTTACCCCATGTTGTTGTATTTCATTGGACCTTTTTGAAAAAGAAAAATTGAAAATTCCACATTTCCAGTGTTGCCGTCTTCCTCTGACTCCTGCACACTAGTGGAACATGGTTGGGACCAATCAAGTCAGCTAGGATGGTTTCCAACAGGATGGCTGTTACAAGTGTCCGTCAGTCCCGTCTCACATTTTGAAGAAGCTCATATAAACTAAGTTAAAGCTGCATAACCATGGCAACGAAGTCAGTCAGAGGAAAATGATGTTGGTGCTCCAGTCACAGCAGGTAGCTTTTAGCTAAGCCAATGCTGAAGTTAACAGCATGTTTATGGTTGTGGAATAGTAGATGCTACCGATACTAGCTCATTTTGGAAAGTCGGTACACTCTAAAGTAAATCACTTCACTGTGACAGGACAAAACCCTGTTTGTTTGTTTTTCTATCATAAGAAAGTTTTGATGATGGGAAGTGACTCATAAAATATGTTTTGACATGTGCAGGAAATTTTTAGATGGCGCCTAACCAACAGTACGTTAACTTTGTTAGCTTATAGCACAGCTGCTACAAAGGTTGGTAGTTTTGTAGTACAAACATGAAATGTGGTGTTTTTTGTTCACTGCGTCTGATCGGTACAGACAAAATAACAGTTGTGCCTTACACCGTGACTCAGCCACGGAAAGTGCTTTTCCCACTCGCTGTTGTACTTGTTGCCTTTCTTGTTAGACGCATCTTCAGTTGGTGCAGGTTGTGTGTTTGTTTCATCCTGATGAGCTCGTTTTCTTCCATTTTCTTTTAAAGAATTCAAATATTGCTCACCTAACCCTTTTTTTCAGTGTGTAAATACGCTTCCCAGTTCCATTAGATTCTCTGAGCCGATCGCGCATACAGTCTACCAGCGGCAAAAACAGAAGAATTGTGGGACATTTTGTAGTGTTTAAGGCCAATTACAATACAATTTGTTATCACAACAAACTCTGCAGCATTGTGACATACCGTGGCTTTACAAAAAAACAAAGTGGCTTGAAAAGTTTGCCCCATATGCAAAGTCATTTATCACACAGACAGCTTACAGCTGTAAACACCTGTATATCACTGTCAGATGAATCAGATCAGTCAACTCTCTGCTTTAATTGTTGAACAAATGAAGCAAGGCAGCAGATGAACTGGGAAACGGCGGTGGTTGTGTGTACTAACTGGATTTAAATCGGTCTCCAAGTAAAGACTTCAGTCTCCTTAAAAAGCAGAGCATCCAGCAGTGACTGTGACTGCTAGTGTTATAGTCTTAAACCATAATAAAAAAACATAACTGGTGATACCGGATTCTTTCTCGGCCCCATAAATGTTCCATAGCAACCCAGTAAAGTGAAACCTCTCCAGTGTGGCTGTTTTTGTGTTAACTGGAATATTATTACTGTACTTAAAGATTCTTTATGATGCTACAATTTCTGTCCCTGTTTATGTTATTTGTATTTCTATTATCTCCCTCTTGGAGAATAGAGATTGAGGAATGAAATGCTGGAAATTGCCTCATAATCATCTTTCAGTGGCTGTGATGAAATTATCTCGTTTACTCTCTAATAGGAACGGATCCAAATGTAGCGGTTCCCGTTCCATTATCGAGATTACTTATCGATTGTCGTCGGGTTCTCACTCGCTCTGTCCTGAGCGTTACCACCATCACTAAGCTGCATAGCAACAACGTTACACTGGTGCTAATGAGTTGCGTGTTGTGCAGTCAGATGTCTGTTTCTCTTTGTGTTGTGACCAGTGTAGGGTCATTACTCGAAAAAAGAAATGTATTACACTTTCCACAGAACACTTCCTTTAAAGGTAATACAGTACATTACTCTTACTCAAAAGTAATTAAGTAATTACTCTTTGGAGTAATTACTTAATTACTCCAAAGAGAAAATCATACATTATTCTACTCATAACATTACTTTCATCTTCCTCTGTAGAATCACCTGAAATAGTCTCATTATTACCATTTAACAGTATAAACCTACCAACACAGACCCCTGTCCTAATGAGGGCACACACACACACACACACACACACACACACA